AGCCACAATGCAACCGACCGAGGGGCAGAGAGAGAGAGAACGGGGTGAAGTACTTAGTCCAAAGAGGAGTTGAAGCAGCAACAATACACAGCTGGCGGATTGTGAAGGTGAATGCGGCCAAGCGCTGTTGTACGTAGCTATGTAGATAAACATAGCGATAGATAAGAGGTGGAGCAAGGATGCGCTGTAAGTAGTGACTCCTGTAACAGCTGGTTGGCTGGGTGGCATACCCGTGCCCCTTGAATTCACAGCACACACAAAAAAACAAACAGTCAACGTGGAGGAAGTAGCAAATATACTAGCAAAAACATTAACAATTACAACAACAACAACAACAAAGCTATACGATGGCGCAAAACGCCTTCGGCTGGAGTGCAACGGCGTGGCATGGCATGGCAAGCGGCGCGCAAAAGGAAACGAACGATTGCGAATGTCTCCTTCGGGTGGTGGCATAAAATACAGTGGCAGTGCGCCGCCGATGAAAGAGGACGACGCCATCCCCCTTAGATGTTTGTAGCGCTTGGCATGCCATCGAGTGTGGTGAATGTTGCAGTGTGTGGGGGAGGGGGGCAGGGGGGGAGGAGGCCGGTGAGGTTTGCTGCGTTTGCGAGATTCATCGTACAGTTTGATTCTGTTCGGTTGAATTGAGTTCAGTTGCAGTTTGTTGTCGCGTCGGAGAGCACATACCAGAAAAGTTTCGGCAACCGAAAACGGACGAAAATTTTTGAAATTTTTTGGATAAATTTTATTACGCCAAAAAAGAACCGAGTTGCACGCGAGTGAATTAGAAACGGAGGAAAAAATATACATACTTACATACATATAGTATTGTTCATATGCAAATGAACGGAATATAAACGCGCACATCGAACGTAGCACAAATATCGCAAAGCGATAAACTCACATACATATTTATACTCAACTAAATTGATCACATACATAAGTCAGCGCACGCACACATGCATAAATACAAACGTATCTACTATATGGGATATATATAATAATTACTCGTAGTAGTAAAAGCGTAAATTCACACAAATTCAAATGTATCGAAAGCACAAAGAATAATCATTGACAGCACACACATATATGTATGTTAAAAACAACAAGCAACACCGAAATGGAGCGACAATAAGTAGTAATTTTAATGAGCAAAACAAAAATAAAATCAACGGCAAAAAAAAACATATAATGGAATAAAGGTATAATTAAGTGAGATGAAAATGTTGGAAATTTGAAAATTACTTAAAATGGACTCGGCCAAACTAAAAATATTGATAAACAAAGACAAAGTTTAAAAGATAATTAATTGAAACAAAATAATTGAATTTGAAATTTATTAATATACTAAAATTTAGTGACTAAATAAACAAATAAGTAGTCCGAATGACTGTTGCTCTCACAGCAACAACCTAATTATATAAATAATGAATAAAAAGTTTAAATCAATATTGAAAGTATTTAAACAAAATAAGAAAGATAAAACGCAAAAAACGAAAACAGATTTTACGAGGGGCCAAAGGTCACCAAAAAGGGGTTTCTTCTGAATATCTTGTTAACGGTGACTTTAGCGAAAAAAAATAATGAATACTTAGTTTTTAGCTTCGGACATTGCCTACAAAAAGTAATAGGTAACTTTTTTTCAAAACTAACGGTTATCGTGTAAATTCCATACACTTTTTGTGTTTTTTTTTTTATTTTTGAAAAGCCTGCAGCGCCGAACGATGCACTTTTTGACAAACACTCGGAGGAAACATAGGATGTAATAAATAAAAAATTATTTTTACGTACGTTAATTATTACGAAATTTACATATGTATGCGAAATTTTCAGCAAAAAAAAAAATTGATCGGGCATTGTCGAAATATTTGAAACCGAATGCATTCTTACTAATAACACTGTAGGAACGCTAAAATGACGCAAAAAAATACCAGGCACGTAGACTTAATTTTAGGTCATAGAACAGATAATTTTCCCAAGATATATTAATTTTAATTTTGCATTATGAATAAAAAAAAAAATCAATCTTTGACATGAAAAAAGTTACTCATACGCCATGGAGGAGTATGGCCGTTGACATAGCGTATGAGTAACTTATTTCTTGCTCACATTTCATCCAAGAAATCATTAAGCAACTTTTTTATTTATCCATCGATTTTCTTCGTTTGTGTCAATATTTTTTTTAAGAACAGATTTTAAAACAAATGAAAAAGTACAAAAATTCTGTTTTTTTTCCAACTTTTACCATGTTAAATTTGAATTTCTTTCTCATAAAAATTAAAACATCTTGGACTCGTAATCTACGACTTGAAGTTAAGTGTACGTGTTTCGACGTTTTTTTGTGTCATTTCAAAACTCGAGATTTTCACTATACTGTAACATACATAACTGTGTAACTGTGATAGTTTGCGAGTGAGTTTACGAGTATGTTTGGTGATCTTTTACGCTAAAACGCCTGTATATATTACAATGAAATTTGGCATACAGATAGCATTAAACTAAGATATTTTTTGAAAGGAGTTGCCACATTTTTTAAATGTTAAAATCAATTACTTAATAAGATAAATAAAATATTACAACAATGTGTGTGTCGAACGAAAGCGGTTCAAAAAATATTTACTCCGAAGGTATTTTTTAGAGTGTGGTTACGTCCTAAAAAAATGTAAGTCAAATAATTAATAAGCTAAATAAAAAACAAAAAAAAACATTGTATTTTTCAAACGAAAGCGGTTCAAAAGCAATTCCTTACAAATATATTCTTTTAGAGGGCTGCCACCTGTTAAAAATTTTACAATGAACTTAAAAGAAAAGTTGAACGAAATGCTTTACTGTGGGTACAAAACGAGAGAGATTTCAGGAAACTTTATTTAAAAAATATTTTTAAAGGGGAGCAGCCACCTATCTAAAAATTTAAAATTAATTAAGTTAACAAGTTGAGAGAGAGATATTATGAAACGAAAAATGTTGTTATACTCCTTTATTCAGACACGGTTTTTGAGAAGAATCTCCACCTATAAAAGTCACTAAAAAATTTTTATATTTTAGAGACTAGGTGCGATATAACTTTTTTTATACTGAATTATCCAATTTAGTTGAAATTCGACGCATTGGCCGTGTTCTGGAACCTAAAGGCAATAAGCACCTTTAAAAAAAAATATATTATTTTCGGTGGTATACTTTTTCTTTTTTTTTTGTTGTAGTTTATAATTTTACCTTCAATTTTATAGACATTTCTGTTGCAGTGCATTGTTCGGTACCGCTGAAATTTTTTTAATCAAAACGGCCAAATCCCTTACTGTTGTTGTAGTTATAGAAATTCCTCCATAACCAAAAAATAGTCTTGCCAAAAAATATTACCCAAACTTTTTTTAGCTTCAAAAGTGACCGTTAACTGGATTTCAGCAAAACAAAAATTTTCCGCGGCACTCGGCGATGAGTCCTTTTGGAAAGTTGATAAGAACAGTCAAAATTTAGCTTTCCCCTAATTATATTGAAGTGAAATGTCTGTATTCCCATGCGACAGTTATCGACGAAATATTAGGAGTGCGCTATTTTGACCAGTTTTGACTATTTTTCTTTTGTTTGTTTAATGCTTATTATTTTTCTAGCGAAATACAACATTTTTACAATCAATGGGATGGGACAACACCACCTTATATAAATTCGCCTAGTTTAAAAGTCTAGCTAGTTAGACAATAAATACCATATAAATTTACATTTGAAACTTTGTACAAAAATTATAAGAATTCGGCAAAGCTTCACCAAAATTTCAAACTGTTTAATCAGAATCTTTAAAAAAGTTATTGCTATCCAGTTTTGTAGCCCATGAAGTGTAAGTTTCACTCTGCTAAAAACTCCTGCTGATTTTTTGCAATTTTTTTTTTGCTGGCCGTGTTTTCAATATAAAAGAAAATTGTCGAACATTCTTTGCATGGAAAAAATGCGAAACACTTTCCCCCAAAAAAGTTCTCGATTATTAGATTTTTTTCCAAAACCGGTTTTCGTGTTGTTCAGTAATGGAAGCTCAAAATAGAATAAGACTATTAAAATTAGGTATGGCTTTCCCTTAAAAGACAATTAGATGGAATAAGTTCAAAGTTATTTGGATTAATAGTAAGATAGAAGTGAGATCGAATAAATATTTAAAAGTTTTATATGCCTAAATAAATTTTTAACAGTTGACAGCTTTCAAATGGACTGTAATTAATGAAGTAACGAAATATTTTTTTACTTACACTTTCAACAAAAACTGATGAGATTTGACTTTTCCCGCAAAAGATAACTACTTCGGACGCCATATTCGATTTTCTATTTTAAATTTTCAAAAAACTATTTGAAATTTGCAAAGAGCGTACTTAGAAACCCCGCAAGTATCAAATTTCTTGAAAATTCAACAATTTTTTTTAATTCTGCGCCAAATTGGATTCGCTAGTTTGATTTTTGGAAATTTAACTTCAGATTTGTTAGGACACATCTTATGAATTATGGGATGCTAAATACCAAATAACTTATTTTAATGCCAAATATTTTAGTACTCCTTCTATTATTTGGGGCAACTACTAAAGTTGGTCTACTGAAATAAAAATGGTCGCACTTTTCTACGCAAGTATGCGCAACTTTTACTTTCGTGGATCATAAAGGAAGCTTTCGTTTATTTATTTTTTTCGTAATCTTATTTTAATAGGTAATATGTTCTCATAACCTAAAAAATACATCTAATAAAAACAATATAAAATAGTTATAAAAAATAGATTTTATAACAATTATTTTACACAAAAAAATAACAATTTAAATCTCGAATAAAACATTTAAAATAAAGAGGTATTAATAAATTGTTAATAACTTAAATAAATAAAAATTGTTTTTACAACACAATGATATAAAAATTTTTTAAATTCCGATAGTTTTAATATCTCTTTCTAAAATTCACAGTATTACTAAAAACTAAAATTTACAAAATCATTTTTTTAGTATATAAAAACATCGGATTGTTGATATATATCCATATAGACCTACATAAATCGGAACAATCGACATAATTGCATTTCAACGAGATTTTCAACATATCAAAAGCAGTAAAAAGGAGAAAAAGAAAAAGCGCAACTTATAGCAACAACAAATAGCAATTAATTGCAGCAACTTTAACGCGTAAGGACACTTTACAACAACAACCACTGTAGCAGCGAATACCAATAACAGCGAAAACTTTTGGTTGAAAAAAAAAACAACAACAACATAAACCATAGCAGCACCCTAAAAGCAAAGGCAATAACAACAATAATAGTAATCATAGTAACAGCGATTTGAAATCAAACAACGACTACATTTAATCCTTCAAAGCATACGCGCGCACACACACATACATATACTAAATTATAAAAAGTAGATAAACGCGCTTAACAGCCACCATTGAAACAATTTGCTTGAGCAACCACGCCCACACACACACACACACACACACAAGCGCGCGTGAAAACCAAAGAAACCAGCATAGCAGCTACGTACAACCGAGCTACGAGTTGGTGGGCTAAGAGCTGCGCGCTGAGTTCAACTCCGTGTGTCAGTGCATTTGAAACAAAAACAACAACAAACACTTATCTACACTTTCACAAAGTCGCGCTAAGCGCGTCACCAAAGCCGCAAAACTGGAGGAGGAACAAGGCGGTAGCGCGATGAGTTCGAAAGTCAGTTCGCTGGAGGAGAAAGTGAAACTCCCGCCAACGGAGACGATAAGCCGGTGTTATCAGCCACCAGGCAAGAATCGTAAAGTTATTCGCATACTCACCGTGGCTGTGTATGTGCTGTGCGTCTCGTTGGCGGCGATTATGTTGTCACTGTACTACATCTTCATTTGGGATCCGACCATTAGACCCTTTGTCACTAAGGGCAACCAATGTGGTAAGCCAGTGGAAATTTATAACTTATGCATATACCATAGATAGACATACATACATACATAGGTATGTATGTATAAATGTATCTATGGACATATACAACTCGTCCGCAATACTTTTTAACTCTTTTGCTTTTGAGGTTGCGTGTGTATGGAAGTGTGAGCGAAAGTTAGAATGTGTGTGTATGTACGCATTTTGGGTATAGTTAACATGATTTCCCAACAAAGGATTTCATTTACGTGTCTAGAACGTGTAAGTAATGAGAAATCGGTCGCACAGTGAAGCAGGAAGCAACCATAAAAAAATGCATATGGCTGAAAATAAATTAATTTTGTTGGGCAATAATTTTCCGACTTCGCGAACCAAATTCAGGGTCGTATATAGGAGAAAAAACCAAAAAAGTTCTGTGGATCCCTAGCGCAACTGAGTGAAACTTCTGCTTTCTCTGTTACACGTATTTACTAGATTACTAATGAATCCGCACGATGTTAAAACGCCAAAATTGAATTTAACATTTTAAGCAGGTGGCAACCCTTTCATAAACCTAAAATATATTCAAAAGTTTAGTCACAAGCGGTCCGTGTGCCTCATTTCGTCTAAATCCATTCAGCCGTTACTGAGTGGAGAGATGTTGCGCATGATTCGGTTGCCCTAATTTAAAATCAGCCTGTACAGATAAAAAAGCGAAATTCAAAAGACAGGGAAGCCAACTCGTGAGGAATTCCCCGATTTGCGGGATAATTAGATAGTACGAACATTTCAATAGGTGGCAGCCCTAATCAAAAGTATTTTCAAAATAAATCTTTAATAAAACTCATTCTTTTGATACATTATTTACATATCTTGTCTAAAAGTTGAATAAATTCAAATTTTCAAACATGTGGCAACCCTAAAAGTATTTTCAAACAAAAATCTTCACAATTTTGTCCGACATTGGGATACATACTTCAATGAACTGACGAATTAATTTGAATTTTATTTTTCAAATACGTGGCAACCCTCTTAAATGTAGCTTTGAAGTAAAGCCTTTCCAAACTCATTTCCATCGATGCAAAGATCTTTTAATAATTTATTTAACTTATTAAATAATTTGAATTAAACTTTCTAAACCAGTGGTAACCCTCTTCACATACATACCTCAAAAATATTCTAATTGTTCAAATGAAAGATTTCTTACCACTCTTTCGTTTGATGCCGATATTTTAATATTTCACATAACTTGTGCATACTTTAAATTAATTCGTATTTTTAAACAGTTGGCAACCCACTTAAAAATATTTTCTAGCTTAAGCTTTCTTAAACTTCTTTCGTCTGATATCCATATTTCAAATACTTATTTGCCGCAATTCAATATAATAAAATGTTTAAACATATGCCAACCCTCTTAAACATATTCAATTTATATAACTTATGAAATAGTTTGAATTTAACTTTTTAAACAGGTGGTAACCCTCTTCAAACACCTCAAAAATATGCTAAATAATTGAACTAAAGATTTAACACAGAAAGAACGCTCTTTCTTTTGACAATCATATTTTAATATTCACATGACTTATGTATAATTTAATTCAATTCGACTTTTCAAACAGGCGGCAATCCTCTTAAAAATATTTTCAAACTTAAACCTTTTTCGTCGAAAAACCCATTTCCCTAATTGCCTTAATTTAAATTTAATTTGATTTCTTAAACCACCCCGTCAACCCCTACCTTCCTCTGTCGCTTTTTTTGTTTGGAATTAGATTCAAACGAGTAGATATGTCGAATCGAATTTAAAGAAGTTTCACTTCAAAAAACCCTTTGCTTCGAATAATTAAAACTATTCGTTACAAATAGAATGAGCCCATTCGAATTCGATAAATTCATTTTAGATTCAATCAGCTGAAGCCAGCCAACTAATAGATCAGGACCCGTTTTCCTATCGTCTGACGGGCATTCAAATTAGACTCAAGCAGCGGGAGCCCATGAACTTATAGATTGTGGCCCGTTATCATAATTCGAATCAACTTCTTATCGGCAGTAAACTTTTATTTTTGGTACTGCAAATTAACTCTTCACTGGGAATTTTTTCCTTGTACACTTTTACAACGGGTTCCTCAAAGTTCGTAGAAATATTGTTTTAAAAATTATTTGTGTCTGTCCTAGCCCAGTCAGCGTTAGGTGCCCTCCCACAACTTATATGGAAGTCTTTTTCGTGGACATATTTTTGCCCACTTCTTAAAGACCAAAAGCGATTCCATGGCTCGTTTAAACATGGTACATGAAAACCCCGTTTGCCCTTAATCTCTAGAAGCGGTTTTTTGCGTAAATTTCGCCCTCCCATCCGCTTTGATCGATGTGTAGTTGGAGTTCTCACCCAGCTGCTAGAATTGGTTTACAATAAAACGATGCTGTGATGAATATTCCACATATCCTATGCCCCTGTCCCGCTTTGGTGAGGTCCGTCGACGCTCGTTTCTCCACCATTCTTTTGAATATCTGGCTGAACTGGATCCATTCACTTTCTACGATTTTGCATGCTCCATCAGAGCTACAAATTGGTTTCACAATGGGCTGAGAACTATCAGTCATATACCGACATTGATTTTGGATTTCTTTTTTTTTTCTCTTTATGTATGTTGCTTGTTACTTTTAGGCGTACTATTGGCTCGTTCGTACAGCAACTCGGTGAATGCAGCAATGAAGTCGCATATAACCAAACACAAAACCGAATATGTACCACAAATAATTCGGCAAAACTTTTAAAATTAAAATACAAATCTTCACTTTCACAAACAATCAACTGCCAGCGCAAGCAATTTCACTTTCGATTGTTTGGTATGCAGACACCTTTTACACAATCGAAATGCTCCACTCGACCCCCTGTGCAAATTAGTCGTTACGTATGTACGTGAGTGACAATGCCAGTTGGTTGCCTTAGCACTATAGTCCCTAACTCCACTAACAAAAAAGGACACAACAAACCAAAACAAAACGCAAAACAAAAGAGTTTGCAAATTAGTACGTGCAGTAAAAAGTGAAAGAGTTGCGAAACAAAAGCTGTGTAAAAAAAAAAAAAAAATATAAAACAAACACAAAAATAACAAAACTGTAATAAAAGCACCGTGAAAAAAGCGCACAGTCGCAGTGCCGAAAGAAGGCAGAAAACAAAAGTGTAGGACAAAGTGTGCGATTAATAAAAAAGTAGTTGCCGCTATTACTGATACCACTTCTTCGCCTTCTGCCTGCTACGCTTCTTACGCTTTTCATTGGTTGTGTAGATGTTATGAATTGAAATTCCTGCACTTGTGGCAGCTGTTGAAATTCTAGGCCACAAGGCGGCATTCTCCAACCAGCAGGAGGCAGCAGGCAGGAGACAGTAGACCATCAGCTAGTCAACCATTCATGCGTTACAACAATCGGGCATGGTCTTTGTGAAAAGGATGCCAGAATGGATAGAAAATGAATGATAGAATATGAGCGGCGGCGGCGGCGGCGGTGGCGGTTGCGGTTGCGGTTGCGGTTGTGGTTGAAAAGCGCGATTACTATTGTTGAGTATCTAAGGATTGTTGAGTGGATGGTATGAGTGGAGTGAAGACTAGTGCTATTGTAATAGCTAGCTATCTATGTATATATGTATGTGCGAGTAGCTAACAAGTGCAACGCCTAGTTTATGCGTCCATTGTTGTTTTTATTCTTGTTGTTATTGGCATTGTTATGCACAAATGCTAGCGTTATTGTTATTATTATTATTGTGGGTGGGCGTGTGTGTGTGTGTGTCTCCGTGTAGAGATGCATTTTGTTGTTGTTGTTTGTTATTCGTGCGCGCTTTGCGGTTGCAGCGCTGCAAATTCGCTTTGCACCAAAAATTAGGTCAACGGGTGTACAGCGAGTGCGAGGTATGTAGCTAAGAGGCCACAGCAGGCGTTGCTATGTTTTCACATCATACATATGCATGTATGTACATATGTATGTAGCATATGCGCTTGGCGGCCGCTGGGTGGGTGTGAATTCGTGCAACAGCACACAAACTTGCAGCAGTGCGCGCGCCACACCTACACGCTTACACATCGTAACATAAATTTGTATGCATATAATGTATGTATGTATGTATGTATGTATGTGTATTTGCTTGTCGGCTTGTTGACGCCTGTTGGTTACAGATGTGCGAAAGCCTCTTTGTCAGCTCAAAATCCGAATAAACGCTCACTCACACAAATTAACACTCCGGTAATTCAATGCTCACTGCGCTTGCTGCCCACTTACTGCCCACTCAATCGTTGGGCTGCATACATAGTCTTGCTGCCACACAGGCCCACTTCTTTGCCACATCACCAACACCACCAACACAGTGCTCCATTCACTAGTTCACTCCCAGCAATCGCCCAACGACCCTTACACTTTGCATGCGGTGCCCACAGTCCTGTATTTGTATTTCTATTTTAATTACAAATTTTTGCGCTGTTCTAGTTTGTTTTTGTTTTTTTTTTGTAAATATTAAAATGGCACCACCAACAAAATTAAGCAGCAAAAATCAAACTTAACTCTAGTCTATAAAAAGCTATTACATGCTTTATAAATAAATAAAAGAACTCAACAGAAAAATAAGAAAAAAAAGTAGAGCAAAGCAACCAACGGTGAGCAAACAAAAATGGGGAGCAAAACAAACTTGTTATTTGGCATAATTTCTACTTGGCATTTTCAAGGTGGCAGGCACGACAGCAGGCAGCACTAACAACAAAAAGAACAGAAACAGCCTCGTCAACGCAGACGCCACCACCGACAATTGCCGGCGACAAGGTTATGACCATGTACAGACAAAATCACAAGAACAAAAACAAAAACAAGTGTACATAATTACATGCGATGCATACATACTTGCATACACATATAGTATAACCAGAAGCAAGTAGATATGTACGTATGTATATTGATGTCGCTGCCATTAAAGGATATCAAATGCAGAAAAACCGATGAAAGAAATTATGTCAGATTGTACACTTGTCTGTCTATGTGTATGTGCTTGCAATTAGATGTACACGTTTTTGTGGTTTATTTGTCATTATAACATCATTTTGAAATAAACATATAATATATACAATCTGCTGTTAAGCTCTCTTCAAGCTTCATTAGTAAAACAGCGGGATAAATTAATTGTATTACCAGCAAATACCCGGCAGGCTTCACTGCGCCATCAAAGTATTTTTGTGTTGTTAGATGCTCCCTCTACATCCAAAACTCTTACTTAATATATTGTTTTAAGTGTATTTATGAAGGATACCTCAAAACTCTTTTTTTAATTCTTTCTTCATTCATATTTTTTTTCGGCTTTTGGATAGGTGGAAAACTTTCAAAACGATTGTCTAGTAAGGATTAACACTTTTGGCACTAATCGTGTAATATTTCATTTAATTTCAAAATTTTTATTTTTTATTATTTAGATAGGCAACAACTCAATGGCAAATATTTCTAAATCAAAGATTTCCCAAATACCTTTCGATTTACACCCATAATATTGTAATACCTGTTCAGTTTATCTTAACAATTAAATTGAATTAAATTTGTAAAGTAGGTGGCAACCCGCTTCAAAATATTTTCGGCTGTCAATTTTCTTAAACCTCTTTAGTTTTGTAGACATATTTTAATATTTGATTTATCTTATCAGTTTAACTGAATTTAATTCTTCTAATAGGTGGCAACCCTCAAAAGTATTCTAGACTGGAAGCCTTCTTAAACCTCTCTATTTTGACACCCATTTTGTTGTACTGAATTTAACTACATTAAAAGTTTCAAGTAGGTGTCAGCCCTCCTCAAAAATATTTTCGGCTTTAATATTTCTAAAACCTCTCTAGTTTGATACCCACCTTATAATATTTAATTTATCTTATCAATTTATTGAAACACATTTTTCAAAGAGATGGCATCTCTCATAAAAAAAAATATTTTCAACTGTTAGCCTTCGCAAACCTCTTTTATTTGATACCAATAATGTAATAATTAATTATTTTTATCTTAAACTGAAATTTTCGAACTGGTGGCATGTCTCTAATTTTTGTTCTTTTTAACCCGTCCGTGTCTTATAACGAACAAATCAAAAAAATAACGACCTTGCCATTTACATATCAATACACAGATATAATACCTATATATTCCAATTGATTTGACCGATTGCAATGAAATATATAAAACGAAAGTCTCTGTGTACTTTCCTACAATGCCCGTTGTTAGAAAAAATGAGTATGGTAAATGAAAGCTACCAAAATGCACGATAAACCATATATATATGACATTTCGATAAGCCTGATATTTTTTACTTGTGTAAATGCTGGTCTCTTGATGTATGTTCAGACAGGCCGCTAATCGAGAAATTAGCTAAGTTTTCTCGATTAAGGCGCTAATTCAGCTCGATTTACCATACAACATTTAAATTCTTAATCGCTCGATTAGTGTTAATTTGAATAAATTTTTTCATGCAACCCTGTTGAATATGTTTAATTTTGATTTAATTTTTGGTATGTTTATTGAGCAATTACCAATCAGCTGTTCGTTTCTGTTTTACAGCTGTTTTTACATCAGGGATGGGAATTTGGATTTTAAAATTTTACCCAATCTGCGGAAAAACTTTACCTAAAAGTAGATAAATGTACCTGAAAAGTAAATATGCATTTTTAAATATTAAAGAAAATAGGAGGATTGCCTTTTCCTTCAAAACCATATCAACTTCTGGATTCACAAATTTCAATCTACTAATGAAGAAATTCGTTGGATAATTAAAAAAGGGAATGAGTGGTCAAATGAAAATGCGGAAGGTATTTTTGCATGAAAAATGTGCAGCAAAGAGCATACATGGCGTATGAGTAACATTTTTGCCGGCTCATTTTTCATACAAAAAATCTTTGCGCATTTTCATTTGACCACTCATTCCTATTTTATTTAGCCATCGATTTTCTTCATAAGCAGCTCAATTATTTTATTAGAATTTTAATTTTTCCTCTGTTAAACTTTGGATTTTTTTTAATTTTTTCATCAAAAAAAACAAAAAAACAAAAAATGTGTAATTATTAATTAATTTCACTTTTATTAGCCACATTTCGTATTAAAATTTTTAAATGAACCATGATATACGTGGTTACGTGGAACCATTTTTATATGTCGAAAAAGTATACGTAAAAAAATTAACCCGATTTGCGGATTCAGCGGGCGATTCTACATAGTAATTGAATTGGGGTATCCGTAGATAAGCACAAATTTGTGATCCAGTGTTATTAGTGATAGTGATAAAGTACGATTTCCATAAAACTTAAGACAACCACCTCAAACTAAGTTAGGTTAGGTAGCCAGTTGCCACAAAATACTACTAAGAGAAGGTAGACATTGAATTATTATCGTGAGCTGCGTTTGTCATTTGTCAGTTTGAATAATTTGATGGGCTGCTAGTGTTTGGCTTGGTTTACTGTAAGTCGGTAATAAGCAGGGTTAGGATTTTAAGGCACTAAAAACTTGAAAATGAGCTTTCAAAAAAGGCAAAAAAAAGCTTCTAATTTTTAATTTTGTTATATACATACCTTTAGCACAGTGTAAATATATGTCTATGCAATTAAATATTTTAAAAAGTACATATAGTGGTCAAAAAATTATAGCCGCACCACTTTTTGCCAAGTTTTAACATACTATTTTTGTTTTTATTTAATTTTGGTTATTTTTTTATAAGATTATAACTCATTCTTCAACAATACCGGTGTAAATCAAAGTTTCCAACTTTTTGCAATATTCAAAAAATTTCGTAAAAATTGCGAGCTTTTAAAAATTCTATAAAACCAACCATAATTTTTAGCCATTTCAAACTTGTACTTTATTCCACAAGAGTTGAATGGGCTACAAAACTACATACTCAGCATCTTTCTAGGAAAGCTAAATTTTTACGAAATTTTGTTGATTTTGTTTTCATTAAATATTGCACATTTTAATTCAGTGTCACACGATTGGTACTTTTGTACAAAGTTTTACATGCGGGCTGTTGATACAAAATTTAAAAAAAAAATGGGACGACCATTTTTTTGTAGTCACACAATACAACGAACTTCTATGAAGAGACAAATATTAAAAAGGCAAAACATCAGAAAAGGCAGAAAAAGGCAATATGTATAGTCAAAAAAGGCAAAATTAAAATTTAAATTTTGAACCAAGGAAGGTATGAAACGTGTGATTCTTAAATTTGTTTACAGATACGACTAAGCAGACCAAAATAGGCAAGTGCCTTGAAATCCTAATCAAGGTAATAAGAATCAAGTATTCATCATTCCAGAGTGATTTTGAAATATATTTGAAACAATTTTTAAGACGGCTAACGTGTGTGTACTTGTGCAAAAATCCGGCTATCGAATGAAAATATTTATTTTAGAAACTCTTATATTTACTACAAAAACTTTGAGATTCATACGACATTGTGCATTTAAATCCTTACCCACTCTTTCTTTACAGACAAAATTGTGATACCTGAAAAAATTGCCATACGCCTACTCAATTCCTCGGAAGTCACCGCCGAGCAATTCTATAGACACATACTCGAACAATATCGCATACTCAATCAGCTGCAGCAGCAGCGCCAGCAATATCTGCAACAACAACATCTTCATCTACAACAACTAGCGGCCGCCAATAAATTTCAAGAGATCTTCGCCACAGCGACAATAATACAAGCCAATCCAAATGATCCAATACGTAAACCGGTTACACCCACTAATGGTACCTTCCTGCTTGATCCATCGCATCCCATAGTTAGTGACGATGTCGAACCACGTATACCCATATTGGACACTGCGCAAGCGCCTATTCCTGTATTGGCGCCCGCATCAGCGCTCGCTACAGCAACTGCGTCGGCGACAGCGTCACTGGCAGCGCCCAATGCAAGCAATGGACATAATAAACGCAAATCGCATCGCAAGCACTACAACAACAACAACAACCATCATCGACACACATCACGCAAGAATCATCGCAAGAACATAGCAGCCGTCGCGGTCAATAGCAATGTGGACAACAACAACAACAACAACAACAACAACCTGAATAACGACTATGAACCCGAGCCATTTGTGGTGGAGACGCCACCCATGAATCCACCCATACTGTCCGTGGTGCAGGAGCCTTACACACAGCTACCCATACCGTTGGTGCTGAATTCGAGAGAAGATAAGCGTCCGCTGTATTACAGCTATGGCGAGCGTAGGGGCGGCAGCGGCGGTGCGCGAAAGCGTGCGGGTTACGATACACAAACATATATGAATCCGCTGCTGACCGGTGAGCTTATTTTTGAGAAATAAAAAGCGCAAATGTGTGGGGGAGCGCAGGGACTGCGACAGCGGTAAGATAGAACAGGTTGCGGGAAGGGGGTGGAATACAAATAAGAGGAAGAAATAAACAAAAAATTACTTTAGCAAAGCGCAATGTTTGGCAGGGTTGCATAGCAAAGCATTTATGTAGATAAGTAAAGCATTAGTTGGTGGCAACCATAATTGGGTCATTTCAAAGATAAACAACAACAGCAAATACTGCCATTATTGCCGCCCCTAACTACACTGACACCAGCAGTAGCGGCAGCTTTACAATCGCATTGCCGTTGCTGCTGCTGCTGCTGCTGCTGCGGCTACAACAAACATCACACACACCACAAATAAACTATTGAAAACCAGAAAACAATAAGTAAAAAACGAAGAGGAAACAACAACAACTAGATCATATATAGCAAATTTTTGAATGTGTAGCAATTAGTGATGAAATACATACCAGCAACAAGAAACTGAAAAATCAAATACCTTAAAAAACCAAACAAAATAAAAAAAAAACAACAACTTATATATCCGTATACCCAACAACCAATACACTTGTAATCGTCTGTATGTACTGTTTATACTCGTACTGTATGTTTATACTACATATATACTTAATAGAAGAATAAATAAAAAACAAACCTTCCCGCCTATACACCAAAGTCGTCGGTCACTCCACACCACTTTATACTTCACGTGCATGGTTCTTAGCCCATTTTAGGCAGCATTAAAGCGCATACAAACGCATGGAAACGCATTAAAACGCATACAACTGCATGAGAACGCATTTACTTATTATACAACGCCATAATGCGCTATCACTTTATCACTCACTTCGCCTTCACCACCGCCGCTAGTTATTCACTCGCTCACCAACCGCCTCACTCACCCCCTCTCACTCACTGATACTGATTCACCACCTCTTCACCATTCACACACGCGCGCATTTACTACTAGAGAAGAATTTAATCACCAACAAATCAAAACAAGTACACCACCAGCAAAATTATATGTATGAAAACAAAGCAAAAAAAAAAAACAAAAACAAAAACAACAAGATCAAATAACATAGTTCTTATATGAATGTACACCAATATATGTATGTGTATGTATTGTTGCGTTAGTATAGCCTTAAACAAAGGTTCAAATGCCAAAGTGGTCAAAGGAGCTGAGCTAAGAGATAAGAGTTTAACGAAATTAATTGAAAATTTGAAAAATGCTGGTCTAAGGAAATGAAATAAAGCAAAGCAAAAAAAAAACAGCACAGGAATTACATATATGAGCATGTCCAGCGTAGGAAAGCAAAGCTGCATAGCAGAAGAGATGATACATCTGCATACATGTTTACAAATGTACTTATAGTACTTACATAAATCGGTGTGTACGTATGCTAGTATGTACTACCTTGCAATTAAAGCAATGAATGCCAAGAACTGCAAATGGTAGCCTTTATAGTAACGACTATGACTTGCAGAAACAACAAAGAAGATAAGACGTATGTATCTACTCTTTGTAATTGCAGTACCGTAATTACATACATACGAGTGTTATCACAAGTAATTTAAGAGATGAATACGAAAGCGAAATAAATGAGTAAACAATAAATAAAATTAAGTTAAAAAAGGTGTAATAAAATGTAAAGAAAAAAAAGCGGAAACATTTGTATCACTTTTATTTTTAATTGGAGAACCCATCTATGCAACGCTGTGCAGCAAATGAAGAAAGAGGTAGGTAAACAAATTACAACGGGCAATTCTGGCTAAGATAGTTGAAAGTCTTTTGTAATACGGTGTTTGCATGAGGCGATTTTTTTTTTTAGTTGAAACAACAATTGCCTGGTGTGGACGGCCTATCAACTAATCGCTTCCAATGAATTTGCCTCTAAAATTACATGTAAATCCCGCCTCGTGTCAACACCGTTTAAGACAATCGAAAGAGAATAGGGAAAATGGTTTGAAAAATTTTTTGTTTATTCGCTTTGCTCCAACAATCCCAATGGCCGAGTGAGCAAAGCACAGGCATGCCATTCGGGAGATTCGAGGTGCGAGTCCTCGGGCAGCGGAAATTTTTTTTTAAGTTATTTTATTTTCTTTACTGAATTAATTTTCTTTTCATTTTTACATTTTATTGTTATAAAAATAGAAAAATAAATTTTTTATTTCATTACATTTAAGAAACATTTTTTTCATATTTTTTCCTTTCTTAATTAATTTTTCTTCATTTTTTAGATTTTACTGTTTTAAAAAGAAAAAACATTTTTTTTTTTAATTTTTACACATATTCTACTTTTTTATTTCAACTCCATTTTTATCTTAGTTTTTATTTTTTTTTAACGAAAAAAAAGTATTTCCTTTTTTAATTTAATCTAATTTATAGAAACTTATACTTTTTTCTTATTTTTTAATTAAGTTTTTTTTCTTTTTTTAGTTTAACTTATAATTTTTAGATTTTATATTTTTTAAATTTCATTTAAATTTTTAGAACTTGATAATTGTTTCTTCTTTCCAATGCATTGTTTTTCTATTTTTAAACCAATTTTCTTTTATCTTTTTGTAATTGCCTTAATTTTTAAAAACTTATAACATTGTTTTTCTATTTTTAAACAAATTTTCTTCTATGTTCTTGTAATTTCCTTAATGTTTAACAACTTATATTATATTTTTCGTTTTTTAATTATGATTTCCCCTTGAATAATAATAAATAATTAAATTTAAATTACTTTACATTTTTAGATTTAAAAAGCAAAATATTTTTTATGCAAATTCATTTAATTTTTAGGTTGCTTTTTTATTTATTTTTTCCTTTTTCTGATGTACTTTTTTCTATTGTTAGTTTAGTGTTCTTTTAATTTTTAGATGATATTATCTTATAAAGAAGAATCGTCTCTTTTTCCTTTAATTTTTAATACCTTTTTATTTTTTTTTCTCCTTATTTTTTTTTATTTTTAGACTTTGTTGTTTTAAAACGAAACACGTTTTTTTGACCATTTAATTTTTAGAAACTTATTTTGTTAATTTTTTGTTTGTTATTTAATTAAATTTTGATTATTATTTTTAGTTGTTATTGGTTTAAAAGGAAAAATATATATATCTATGTATATTTTTTTAATCTCATTTGATTTTTAGAAACCTTATTGTTAGCAGATTTATCAGTTAGTTATTCGACAGACAAAAAAGAGCTTTTACGTTAGTTGCCAGAATTGACAATTTTCTTACGAAAGACTTTTGTCTTACGAAAGGCTGTGGTAAATTGAAAGACAGTTGCCAGAATCGCTTTGTAAGTTTATGTGAAGGTAAGTCAATGAAATTTGTAAATTTTTTCTAATGACAGCCAAAAGTGCGGTTATTTTTCGTAAATATTGCATGTCGCTGGCATCCCTGCGGTACATCAACTCCCTTCCTCCTAAATTCTCTAACATGTGGCTAGACAAAACTCTAAAATGCTAGAAAGTTGGCTGACGTGATGACGGAGGAGGTGATGAAAGCCACTAATATGGTTGGAGACAATAAAGCAACAGGCCTGGACGGCATCTCAAACAAGGCATTAAAAACTGCAATATTTGCAATAATTGCAAGGTAAGAGGCGTAGGAAAACGTGACTATGGCGGATGGGACAAACTTATGGTGGGTTTTTATACCTTATTTTAAAACAGTACCGGCCAATCGCATACTAAAACATCTGCGCGTGAGGAGCGAAAGCTTAACTTCGTGCATACACATCGTTAGCGTTGGTGTCAAAACACGAACGAAATGCAACAACGCATAATGGAACTTTTCAACGGACCTCATGAGGACTGTAACGAACCTAGAGCTCCGCGCTCAAAGCACCTCCCGGCAAAATACCTGACGGCAGTAACGGGGGGATTAGTACTAAGGCGACAGAAGGTTTAGTTCGGCTTAAAGTCTCACACTGACGGCGTTTAGCTTTCGATGCTTCCTCCTCGTCAAAAGAAAACTGAGAAACGCAAATAAGCTGAGTAGATATCTCTTCCTATAGAAACGCATTTGTGACCTACGCAGCCATAAAAAAAATCCACCATTGAACAGACTTTCACAGTGCTTCAAGTGCTGAAAAATACTCCGGATAAAGAACTCTACATATACTATGGGCTGGTTTCTCCAACTCAACTTAACTTATTTTAGCCATTTTTTTGACTTAAGTCAAAAGTTAGCCAACCTTTTACACAGCTTATTCTTGACTAAGACTAAAAAATTGGCTAAATTAAGTTAAGTTGAGTTGGAGAAACCAGCCCTAAGTTTTCATTACAGCCCCGCTCTTTCAAGTAATGGGTGGGAAGGGTAGTTTTTATTTTTAAAGTAGCCCATCTTACAAAATGCGTTTAAAAGCAAATGGAGAGCAAATTTTTCAATAAGCCTGTGAGCTTGTTTGAATGTGCTATGCTTTATTTTAAATCCAAATTGATGGTTAGGCATTCGCTTCTTCTCTTCTTTCGGGTTCTAATATCATTTTTACATGAGGCACCTTCCATTGAAGGACATTTGAAAAATATTGTTTTCAGCTTTCATCAAAATTTAAATATTCAGTTAGCTGACTGACAAGGTGTCTTAAGTGCATTGTCTCATGTCGTAAAGTTTTTAACGGTTATTGAAACGTTTGTAGGACTTGAAACCAAAAGCAACTCTTTTTTAACAGAGTGAAAATTCACATTATGGCTAAAGGTACCTTGCGAACACCTGGCATATATTTTTAGCCGTTTAAAGCTTTCGACGAACAACAATACAGCACCCACGACACCCTGTATTTTTTTTTTTACATTGCCAGTATTATTAAAGATTCAAGTCAAAGCAATAGACTTTTCAGCAACTATCTTAAACAAACTTAACAAGATAAGTAGCTGCGGAATTTGGGTTGAGAAATACCGACAGCTCGATAAACATCTGCTGCATAGAGATTATATATGTACATACATAGATCGCTAAATGGGGAAGAGTCTTGGCCAGACACCTTAATCAAATAGCCTAATCTCCCAAATGAGCATTTGTATTCCGAAAATCCGATGGTTAATATGCGGTAAAAATTAAATTTAAAAAAAAACTGTTTGTTTTTCACGTTTTTAATAGTTGCTTATAATTCTTAACCAGACGCTTACAATTTAGCTTATTTGTTCGTCATTTTTTTTGGGAAATGGCATGAGGTCTCAAACCAACAGCAATTGGTACGAACGGTGTTAGGTTTTATCATATAATACTATCAGCTTATGCATATATATGTACATATGTACATACATATATGTGTACATCTGTGTCAATAAGAAACAAAAGCTAATGTCAGTAAGTTGATACACCATTTACTTTATAGTATAGATAAATACTGTAAACAATTTTTTGATGAGAATATAGGGGAATAGAAAACGGGGTGCAGGCTTCGCACACTGGGACCGCCCCATATAAGCGGGAGCTCAAAATGATGAAATCATTTTCTTTCCATTAGTCTTATCGCTTGTACTACTTTTTAAGCGAACATTTTTGACGTCTTAACCCGTTTTTGTCAAAAAAGTCGAAACCTTTTTTATCTTTCATCTTTGATTCGACTTTAAATATGCCCCATTATGTTTTAATTTCCAAGAGATTTACAAATTAAGTATACAAAATATCGAAAAGCAAGTAATGTATCTTATTAAAATCAGCTATAAAAAAAACGAATTAAAATAAAATAAATAGTCAAAACTTTTCAACATTTGAGTATGCAGAGTTGTGTAACCCATTTAGTAGTAGTACATTAAAGTGCAATTAAATATAATTCGTTCAACAAAAACCACAAGAATAAATTTTTTAATTTCATACAGAACTCGGGGAAATGCCAGAAATATCAAAAAATTTTCATCAATATTTTAAATTTTGCAGTTCAATTTTTTAATAAAAAATTTTAGTATGCAACTTTGCAGATCATTGATTTAATGAAAAAAAAAATAAAAAATTCCGCCAGCAAAAAAAAATATTAAAAATAAATGCGATTTTTTAGCCGCTCAAAGCTTGCACTAGTTGGCCTAAAATTTTATAGTCTGTCAACTGCATACCCAAAAAA